CATGACTTGTAGAGAATCCGTACTATGAGAACGTAGTACGGATTGAGATAAGCAAGAAAGTCCTGTGCCGTTTTGCGATATTCGCAATAATAGTCGAGATATTAATTAAAAAAGATTGGTGAATGATCACGCGCAATATGGTAGATGAGCTGCAATGGCGCCATCTGTCGTTGTATACTTATACATTAAGTCAAACTGAAAAAAGTCGTCTACCATTTTACAAATGACCACATGACATAGATTTTTAAATATTAAAGAAACCTGTTACATATATGATTGTATACCATAATGTATAAATTTTCTTTAATTAATATCTAAAAATCTATATGGTAATTTACAAAATGGTAAAGGACTTTTTTGTTCAGGTTGATTTAATGTATAATTATACAACGGCAGACGGCGCCACTGCAGCTCATCTACCATATTGCGCGTGATTATTTACCAATTTTTTAAATTAATATCTTGACTATTATTGCGAACATCGCAAAACGGCACAGGACTTTCTTGCTTACCTCAATCCGTTCTACGTTCCCACCAAAGGTCATCATGAAGGTCTGAGACACCCACACACATATATATACATACACACATACTACGTAGCACGCACAACACACACACATACATACACGCACATACACGTATACGCACGAACACGCCGCACACGCACGCACGAACGCACGTACATACCCACACAATATTTTACCACAGTTAGATGTATCACATCCATGCTATTACTGAAACGCTCGTTATATCCATATACTGAAAAGTAGGGGATCTTGGAATTAGAGAGAAAAAAAATATCTAGGTAAATCTTTAGAAAAATGGACGTAGCAGCTATAAGCTTGACCTTGACAAATGTTGTAGAGGTCATCGTCCTGAGTAATCTTCAGAAGGTTTTAGCCGTCGCTCGTTGTTTATTAAAAAGTTATTAACAAAAAATTTGCATAAAATGAATGTAATTTTTGGACACCGTATATATAAGGTGTAGTAAAAAGAAATCCATTATTTTTGCATGAAATTGAAGGCTTTATTTAGCATAGTTAGAATGATCCGATTTAGGTCAAATATGCACCGTTTTGTTCGATAACTTATTGCCATTTTGAAGGTAATTCCATTATGCCTCAATCATAGAAACCCTTGTCCCTATTGGCAAAAAACTGGGACAGTCGATTTTCACAAGCTTCTCTTGAGGCGAATTCTTCACCAGCAAAATCATTCGCCATAGACAGGAACAGGTGGTAATCGCTTGGTGCCAGATCCGGACTATAAGGTGGATGCATAAGAACCTCCCAACCAAGCTCCCGGAGCTTCTGGCGAGTCACTATCGATGTGTGTGATCTGGCGTTGTCCTGATGGAACACAATTCCTCTCCTATTGGCCAAAGCTGGCCGCTTCTGGGCGATTGATTCCTTCAGACGGTCCAATTGTTGACAGTACAGGTCCGAATTAAGAGTTTGGCCGTAGGGGAGCATCTCATAGTGGATGATTCCCTACTAATCCCACCAAACACACAGCAAAACCTTCCTGACCGTCAATCCTGGCTTGGCCACCGTATGCGCCGGCTCACCGCGTTTCGACCACGACCGTTTTCGCTTGACGTTGTCGTAAGTGACCCATTTTTCATCACCAGTCACCATCCGCTGCAGAAATGGATCGATTTTGTTGCGATTCAGCAGCGATTCGCAGATGGAAATTCGGTCCATGAGGTTTTTTTGCGTTAACTCGTGTGGCACCCATACATCGAGCTTCTTTTTGTATCCAGCCTTATTCAAGTGGTTCCAAACGGTTTTTTGTGCAATGTTTAGCTCCTGGGCAATCGAAACAGTGCTTACATGACGGTCGGACTCGACGATTTCCATTATTTTATCGACATTTTCGACAATTGGCCTTCCAGAGCGTGGTGCATCTTTGACATCAAAATTACCGGAACGGAATCGACGAAACCAAAATTGCGCGTGATTGGCTGTTACAGTATCAGGACCATAAACACTATTCACATTTTCAGCCGCCTGGCTTGCGTTTTCGCCTTTATCGAAGAAAA